GACTATCTGTGTCCCAGAAGGGAAGAAGACATAGGCGTAGGGACCGGCTCCGGTCCGGCTGTCGCCTGCGGGTCCCCCTCCGGGGGCCCGTCGTCCCCCTACGGTCCCTCCTCTGACACCTCGTCGGCCACCTCCGGGTCCCCCTGCCTCGGCTGATCAGCCACCTGTGGGTCCCCCTGCTGCGGCTCGGCATCGGACGGCACCTTCCCCGGCTCTGGCTGCCCCGTCACCTGCTGCGGCATCCCCCTCCTTCTTGCCTGCGCCTGGGTCCCCTCCGTCTTCCTCTTCACCACTCCCGGTGCCCCCTCTGTCTTCCTCCTCGTTTCTTCTGTCTGTCCCTCGGCCTGTCTCCTCCTCCCCTGTGTGGTCCCCTCCGGCTCTGTCCTAAGGCGTGGTGATGATTTACTACAAAAAGTATATGATGGAATTAGGAATCCCAATAAATGTTGACGTATACATCCAATCTCAGGTACTAAAGAAAACTAGCTAAAGAAATATCTAAATGAAAAATATTAACCCATAAATAAATAATCTTTACGAAAGTATTATCTTAATTAGGCAATGTTAAGAGATGAAAATGTGAATGTGGCTATTGTTCTGAGAAGAGGCGTAGTCACGTGGTCAAAGAGCCACATGTAGCTCGCGAGCCGCAGGTTGCCGACTCCTGACCTAAGCTGACAGACAGAGCAAGGAGAGCACTGGTCAGAGAAGCTGCCAAGTGGCCCATGGTCACTCTGGAGGAGCTGCAGAAATCCACAGCTCAGGTGGGACAATCTGTCCACAGGACAACAATAAGTCATGTACTGCACAAATCTGGCCTATATGGAAGAGTGGCAAGAAGAGCGCCATTGTTGAAGGAAAGACATAAGAAGTCCCATTTGCAGTTTACCACAAGCTATGTAGGGGACACACAGGGTTCCCCCTGGAGTTTGATTTCAATTCTTCACTTTTCTTTGTATTTTTGCTTCTACTAATCAAATTCTTCACTTTTTTTCAGCATCCGTTTTTTTTAGTCACTCTCTCGCCGCTTCTTAATAAATTAATCATTAAACTCACTGAATATACATCTCTTCTGACAATCACACTGTGATTGGTCAACTAACGGCATGGGCGAGTCACGAGTCTACTTGATAAGGTTGGGAGAATCGTGAATACTGTGTAAAAATTTGCTTGCTGGCGTGCTGAAAACATAATGTATAGTACGCATTTCGGAAATAATGTTAAAATTACTATATATATAAGGTAAGCTAATACTTTCCCGGTGTTTCATAGTACCTTTGAGAGGGACATTCTAAAACGCTTAATGTGATCACCAAATTTCGCACACACACATCTGGTCATAAAGACTTTCACCTGACAAAAAATCAAAACCGAAATACAATGAATATGGACTTTATTTTACGTTAAGCGTTTTCCTTATAATCGGCGTCAATTGAGGGGAAAACGCTTAACGTAGTATAAACATGGGCGTAAATTTCATTCAACAGTAGGGGGGGACAATAAATGCCTTTTTCTCATGAGCAATTTTTGAAGGGGGTACAAATAATACAGTCAAATTGTACTTATAAAGATATGTCCCACAATGAAAAACTTTGCTTCTATCATTATTATTGTAGCATGGAGACTGTGTCATTATGGTTATTTTCAAAGTTTTTCTCAGGTTCAATGACAAAGCAGATTTTTCTTCAAAACTATTTATTGCATTGTTTGTTATGTTGTTTACAGTCAAGCCATCAACATACAATAAAATTTAAACATGACTGTTTAAATGCATAATAGATATTGATTAAACAAAAAAAATACAGTGGGGTCAGTTCGGACGTAGCACAGTGCTCCTTTAGTAAATGCACAGCTAAACAATATGCTAATTGTGGGCGTTAATGTTAAGTTAACATTATGCCAAGTCGTCACAAATAAAACAATGCATGGGAAACGGCTTTGGCGTGTTAGTTGCAGTGCACTATGCAACAAGCTATTGTAAACAAGCTAACGTTAACTAGATAAGTAATATTTTAATCGCTAATATAGCAGATTCGTGGAAAATTACATCGGTAATCAGCATTTTTGCCGCAAGTAATTTATGAATGAGTCTGCATCAACTACATTAAAGAGAATCGCTTTATTTAAAGTGAATAAAATACCCTACTTACTGGAGTTCAACATTAACTGAGCCGCAGCCACACACCTGATTCGTGTGTGTAGAGAAGGTGAGATGACCTGGGAAAGCAGGCAGTTGGCCAAACCACTGTGAGGAAGGGGAGGGGGAACTCAACTTTTTCTAAATGCATTTTTTGCGTTTGTTTTTTTTTTCTACTTACAGAATTATTTTAGGTATACATACATATATTTTTCACAATAGATACACAAGAAATCACATTTTTTTTTTTTTATATAATTTTTTTTGGGGGGACAACCCTCGGATAGGGGGGGACATGTCCCCTCCGTCCCCCCCGGGATTTACGCCCATGGTTTATAGTACAAATTATATCTCTGTGTACAAGCTAATAGCTGGAGCATTATAAAGATTCAATGTTTTAGAGGTAGGAAATCCCCTATCAATTGTAAAAATGATCAAAATAATAACACACTCCTTATGCAGTCATTCCAGTGAAGTTTCGAAGGTTAAGGAATTTGAGGATATACTGTACAGAGATAATGTTCGTCCTACTGTGGTGCCCTTTTGATTTTGGCTGATTGGTGGAAATATTCCATGGGCCTAATATTCTTTTTGTTCTACTCAGAGACTCATTTCACATGGCAGCTGCCTTGGAAGAGTGAAGGCCCTTAAATGGGAAGAAAATATCTTTAAAGGTCAAAACACAAACACACACACACGTATACAGAATAAATTTCTCAGTAATGACATCTTGTTTTCTAGATTCCCTTGGATGTGCATTTCCTGTAGCCATAGGATGGTAATCATTCTAGTGCTTGGGTAACCATCTGCTGATAACTGACTTTAATGTTTATACACTGAGAGAGAATGTTCATAATTAAGCCATCTACTCAAAAATATGTCCTCGCAAGATGAAGTCATGTCATTATATATTGAATATTGGTAAACCTCAGTTGGCGAATTGGAATTTCAATTATTTATGTACAGTGGTGTCTGCGGTTCACAAACACAATCCATTTCAGGAAAATGGTCATGAACCAATTTGTACATGAACCAAGGCAATTTTCCCATAAGAAAGCATTGAAATTCGATTAATTCGTTCACAAGCCTATCAATAATAATTTTTGTTAATTAATTTTCTGGTCTTTATAGTAAAAACTTTAAAGAAAAACACAATATAGTGTGGCAACGGGCGGACAGGCATCGCGGGAGCAGAGAGAGACATGGAGACTTGCTTGCTGGGGAAATCACGCTCTTTATTAACAGTCCCTAACCCTTGTATTGTTGTTGTTGTTGTCGTTGTTACTGTAAATGGTTGCGTTTCCCTATTGTTGCGCGTGTGTTTGCCTGTGTCTTGTGTGTACCCGGTCCAATCCTCGCATGTATTTAGCTTGTGTAAATCTTCCACCGTGCGTGCATCTTGCAGTTCGGCGTCTTACAACCTTGTATTTCCTGTCTGTGTCTTTGGGTTCGGTGCTCGTTGGGTGCCTGTTGTGGTCCTTTTATTTACACTTGCATGCAGGGCATGCTGGGACATTCGCCCCGCCGGTGCTACACTACTATAAAAAGGAATCTGGTCAAGGAGTCTATTCGTCAACCAAATTTTGTACTCGAACCAATGCATTTTTTTCACAAAATTTTTGGTCAGGAATCAAACTGTTCGTAGACCACAAAGTTCATGAACCGCAAGCACCGCTATAATTCTAATAGGCTCCGGGCCCCTGTGACTCTGAATCTGACAAGCAGTTTCAGAAAATGGATGGATGGATGGATGGATGGAATTCTGAATTATAGTTGGTACTGATGCATCTCTGTACCGATCCTTAACGAATATTTCCATAGATTATTGTAGAGTTATAATTCATTAAACTCGATTACTCATTGATTAACATTTACCTTCTTGATGACTTGGTAATTTGGTGGCAGGAAGACAGCATATGGGGTGAAGGTCCAAATAAAGAGCAAATGCCTTAGTTTTGTGGAAGCATTTCATGTTGAAAGTGAAACAAAATGCAGATAAATTGCAGAAGACTTTCAGGTTCAAGGGACTCACCCAATAATGTGAGGTTAACCATAGTGCCCTTCAGCCTCTTGGAGTAGCTTGGCCTGTCTTTGTCAAGACTTTGCTTTAAATTATTTAGCTTAATTAACTATGATGACAATCTATGATGCCTGTATCTCTATATAATCATGCTAAAACAGGCTAGTCCTGTTGCTTAGTCGTACCATCTAATATGGTACAAAATAATCATGTAATATTATTTTTTTGTGAGCATACTGTTTGTAATGAGTAGGGCTGAACAATACAAAAAAATTATCACATTGCGATATTTAAAATTTTATAAATAAATTTTACGCAATAAATATTAGCGTATTTATAAAACTGAAAAATTGAAAATTTGAATGAACAATAGAATCAAACAGGTTGGTGGTGTTGCTGTGAGACAATTAACTTACTTTTACTCCTGTTTCCTCCCATAGTTCAAAAACATGTAGCTTAAGTGAATTGGAGTGCAAGCATGCGTGCATGCACCTTGCAATGGTGTAGTGCACCATCCTGGGTTGGTTCCTGCCTCACACCAAATGCAATATAAAATAAAATGTGTGTGTGTGTGTAATATACCACACATATACATACAAATGATTACTAGATTAATCGTCATATTGATTGGTAGATTACTTGGTTATTAATTCAATTAATAGTGACAGTCCTAGTCCTATTGTTGGACCATTAATATGATTTCCCAATGCTAAATTACAAGAGTTGTCCTCTGCTTTGGACAATGTCATGCTGTCATGCCACAAACTGTCTTCAGTCTCATCTCTAGAGGGAGCTGGAATTGAACGAACCTGGTAAGCTGAGGTGGTCCTTGTGTCATTTCAGATGGTCCCTCTGATCAACAAAGCCACAGAAACTCTATTGACCAACCGGAAGACCCATGCTGACTCAGGGCTGAGCTTTGATATACACAGGTAAGTCTCTCATGTTTTCACACCATCTGGAATATCTCTCAGACTGGGCCAGTATGGATGTATAGTCTGAAGTAATGGCTGATATTCGATTGTTGATTGCTGTGTCTGCAGCTATAAAGCATTTTGGCTGCAAAGCTATGGTAAAAGCATCCATCCATACATCCATTCTTGACCCAAACTGCTTATCCAGTGCAGAGTCATAATAATTCTGGGGCCTTTCCTACACAAAGCGTGAGATACTCTGAATCAAATATTGCAGGACAGAAACATGCACTCACACTACCAGCTGTTTAGAGACACCAACTCAGCTAACTGTGAGCAGTTTGGGTTTACACTAAGAGGATTCATGGAGCTAAATGGACCCTATCCTTCTGTGTATCCTTCTCTGGATCTTTTACTGGACGATTCAGGAGCTTTGGCTGCTTCACTATGGATGTGATCGCCAGCGTGGGCTTTGGCACCCAGGTGGACTCCCAGAAGAACCCTAAGGACCCCTTCGTTTACCATGCCCAAAAGTTCTTCTCCTTCACCTTTTTCCCATCACCATGTTCTTCAGTAAGATTCAGGAAGCAGCACTGATCTATTCCAAGCAAAAATTCACTAATTTATCAATTGACAAATTGGAGCAGCGTGTGGCTCAGTGGGCTAAGCCTGTGTGTCTGTAATCACAAGGTCGGCAGTTCAAACCCCCCCTCAGCACGTTTGCGGGTTCTTGAGCAAGGCTCTTAACCCCCAGCTCCCTGAGTGCCGCTACGGGTGGCAGCCTTTTGCATACAGCTTACTCTACACATAGCAAGTTGAGGGAGGCGTAAAGACAATTTCCCTACGAGGATCAATAAAGTATCGGTTATTATTATTAATTGGTTAAATAACACAGGTTTACAAAAAAAATGTTTTCAAGTTCCAAGGTTTTTTGAATGGATTTAGGGTATTTTGAGGGTACTGAATTCAAAAATCCCATTACTTTTGCTGAATTGGTTCTAGGTTTTGAGATAATGGACATCCATGAAAATAATGCATTCCCCCAATGCGACTTGTGTGTGATAACAAATGCAATAGCTTTTGGTCTGTCTTTTGACTCTTTAACAGTGTCTTTTGGCCCTTGGCTCAACACGATGCCTCGCCATCCTTCCCTGCGGCTGTGCCTCTATTAATCCTGCCATTGTGCATCAAGCACCCCGTGCCTGCACTGGTCGGCCGCTGCATTGAGACATATATTTCAACCCCTGTATTAGCTTAGTCATATCATCTTGTTTGTTTGACTCATCTGCCGGCCCCTGGAGGATGGGCTCCCCCTTTGGGTCTGGTCCCTCCCAAGGTTTCTTCCTCTTAGGGAGTTTTTCCTTGCCACCGTTGCCTTTGGCTTACTCAATGGGGGGTCCATACGAGGCAGAAATGTAAAGCGCATTGAGACAATGTAATGTTGTGATAATGCGCTATATAAATAAAATTGAATTGAATTGAATTGAATCTTAGGTAATGAAATGAATGATGAAGCGTCGAAGGAGAGTCTGAAAATAAAATTAGAGTAAAGTTCATATGTGCGTGTTTGCATGTTCATTTATTGCTGTTGTTACTGTGGTGGTCAATATTTACCCAGATCAAATCTCCATTTGGGCTTCACAAATGCAGTCAAAAGAAGATGTCCCTGGGTTTTTCACCTTTTTTGACTTCACCAGGTCCACATATTTCACAATAGAGGGCCAGACTTCCAATGCTCGTTTGACAGCTGGCAAATTTTCGAGCCACCGATGGCCACAGAAAGGAATAGGGAATCTTGAGGATGATATTGCAGCTGTGAAGTCCTCTCTTCTGGCTGGCGCAGAGTGGAAAAGAAAATGTAGTGCTTTGAGCATTTTCTCCACCATCCACACTTCAAAACCAGTCTTGAATGAGTTGTGAAGGGTATGTAGGCCACAACTTCCTACAATTACTAACTGTGTCCCAGCAAATTGCTCACCACAGTGTGAATGTCATCATTGGATGTATAGGAATGATGCAAAGTCCATAGCACTTCTGCTTTCAGTGTGTCAGTTGAGGAGAATGTACTGAAGGCATTGCTTGTCGGGGGATCTGGAGACACTGCCAATTTGGGTGTAGGCCTTCTCTGTAGGGGTTGTACTTGCAGGACTGGCAAACAACTGAATGGGGACAGTTGTTATCCAACTGTCGACAAAATGCTTGTGCTTCTCTACCCTGATATGTGAGTCAATGGCTTTAGAGCCCATTGTTGCTGTCACGCCCACGGGGGCGGACCCAGCAGGGGGCAGTCACCCAAGGACCAATTAACCCCGATACTTAAGGGCAAAACCGATCGCTGGTCACTTGCGAAGTATTGAGCTCATGATCGGCCATACCAAGCACTTCTCTGTCTTCCGTCTCCCTTTGCTCCCGCTACCTACCTGTTCTCCTCGTGTGCGACCCTTAACTCCTGTTCCTTACCTCCTCAGCCCAGCTCCCGTCCTTGAACCTTCCGTCTTGCTGAGCCCGGCTTCCCGAGTTGACCAGCCCTCCTGTTCCCCCGTCCCGTGTACGTGTATCGGACTGACCCCTCGGATTTCGACCCTAGCATCTGGACCTCGACCACTCTCCCGGCTCGCCGTCATTGGAACCGTCTGTCCAGTCGCCTCCTCCTGGGCTCCCCGGGGAGCGGACCTCATCCCACCTTCCATTGCAGAGCTGACAGCTCCCTGTACTTGTTCTCCGCGACGTCTATTAAAGCACGTTTATCCCCGCATTTCTGGATCCTGGTCTGTCTGCCTCTCCGACCGTGACAGTTGCCAGTTTGATGACTTTTTTTTACAAAGGTTGCATCACGCTTCGTAGACATTAGTTGTCTTTTTCAACCAGCCATGGTACTTTTTTTTGAAGCACTGACATTACTAACAATTAATAACTAATATTGTATTAATCAACATAACTTTTTCCTGTCACTTATATTGATTGATATTTTTAATTTCTTTTTTGTATGATGTTAGACTGTTTACTTACTAGTTGTAACTAAAATAAAATTATTCATGCAATTCTGAATGTTTTTCACACATGTTGCATTAATTAATTAATTAGCTATTAAATATCTCAGAAACTAGAGCCAATCTGGCAAAACCAAAGTCATATTCTTAATCAGCACCATAAACTTAATATAAAACCGTTCAGACATTGTTGGCACCAAAATCACTGTATACGAGTGTAATTGATATTCCTGCGAGCTTGGCTCCATTATACAGGAAGGTAGTGAAGGCTACCCATTGTCGAGCAAGAATGTGCAGTGTCTCTCAGACATGTGTACCTGGAGTTCTCTTACTCCAGTCACACTGCAGGCTGCGCAGTCATTTGTTTCACTGATGCCCTGCTTCTTCCTCCTGCCTGCAGTCGTTTTCCCATTCCTCATCGCTCCTCTAGCACAGCTCTTGCCTAACAAGTCGAGGTACGAGATGAACAGTTTCTTCATCGGGTGCATCAAAGTGATGATCAAGCAGAGAGACAAGCTGCCTGCCTCTCAGGTAAAGTGTCATTGGGAGTTTCTCGAATGCCTAGAAGATGACATTCAGCTGGTTGAGAAGTTTCCCCCCTTGAGCTTGCAGACTGTAAGTGATTACATAACTCCCATGAGCCTTTTGGGGGCATTTTTCATTTTGGGGCAAGTCATGCTTCCTCAGACTGTTTGTTAAATATTGAAATACTGTGTGAATGTAAGATATCGGATGAATGTAAGAAAGGCAATCTGGTCACCTGGGTAGAGCAGTGATTCAGAGCTCCTGGACCTGGAGTGACCCTTGACCTCTATCTCCACAGCGTCGTTGTGAATTTCTCCAGCTGATGCTAGAAGTAAGAAGTGAACGGGAGTATGTATTGCTGGATCAGTTCGACCTGGTAAGCCATGCTGATGACAGCACCCAGGCCGCAGACCGGGGGAAGGCAGCAGATGAGGCTCCACGGCGAATGCAGAGGAGGGTGATGACGGAGGATGAGATTGTGGGCCAGGTCTTCATCTTCCTGCTGGCTGGATATGAGACCAGCAGCAGCACGCTGGCCTTTGTCTGCTACTTACTGGCCATCCACCCCGAGTGCCAGCAGAGAGTACAGGAGGAGGTGGACGGTTTTTTCTCCATGACAGTGATTGCTATCTTCTTCCCTTAAGTCATCACTACACTTTGCAGTGATGACACAACCCACCAGAGGATCACTGTTATATAGCAGTTTGTCTTTGTTAAATGATAAAGAAATGCTAATACCTAATAGCCAACATTGCTGACACTGACAATGGTGACTACTCTGTAATCAGTAAAGGCATTTATTTATTAGGAACACCATACTAATACGGTGTTTGACCCCCTTTCGCCTTCAGAACTGCCTTAATTCTACGTGGCATTGATTCAACAAG